AGAGCTGTCCAAGTCTGGTGTAGAGATAAAGGGCCCTTAGAAGGGTAACCAACAGGGGTCCTGAAGTTGCCAACCAACAGCTGACAGTCCTTGGACCACATTCATGCCATACATTTAATTGCATACATGGTGGGTGTGGGGGACTCTCTGGTCCTGAACAGGATAACCGTGCCTCGGAAAAACCAGGTGTGCAGCCTGGGAGTCATTTTGGACTCATAGCTGTCCATGGAGGCCTAGGTCAATTCTGTGTCCAGGGCAGCTGCCTACCAGCTCCACCTGGTACGCAGGCTGAGACCCTACCTACCCACAGACTGTCTCACCAGAGTGGTGCATGCTCTAGTTATCTCCTGCTTGGACTACTGCAATGCACTCTCTGTGGGGCTACCTTTGAAGGTGACTTGGAAACTACAACTAATCCAGAATCCGTCAGCTAGACTGGTGACTGGGAGTGGCTGCCGGGACCATATAACACCAGTCCTAAAGGATCTTCACTGGCTCCCAGTACATTTCCAAGCAGAATTCAAAGTGTTGGTGCTGACCTTTAAAGCCCTAAACAGCCTCGGCCCAGTTTACCTGAAGGAGCATCTACACCTCCATCACTCAGCCCAGACACTGAGGTCCAGCTCTGAGGGCCTTCTGGCAGTTCCCTCACTGCGAGAAGTGGAGCTACAGAGAATTAGACAGAGGGCCTTCTCAGTAGTGGTGCCTTCCCTGTGGAATACCCTCCCTTCAGATGTCAAGGAGATAAATAATTGCACAACTTCTAGAAGACATCTGAAGGAAATCCTGTTTAGGGAAGTTTTTTCAGTTATGGGTCTTCTTAGTTTTGTGCCCCCTTGGCTCAACACCCTGTTCAGGGGAACCTCTTGCACCACCCTAAATCCAGCGCTGACAACTCTCAGCACCCTGAGCAAACTACAGCACCCAGAATCCTTTGGGGGAAGCCATGACACTTAAAGTGTTGTCATGCTGATTTATGCGTATGGCGTGAATGTGGCCCTGGTCACAGGGCAGCTGCTCACTATTTTCCCTACTAAGCTAATGTGTGTATTTCTATTTAATTTAAAGGCATTATTTCTAAATTTGCACCTATACTTATAAATCAGCCAGTATACATGTCATGCAAATGTGTGTCCCTATTTGTCCTCTTTTCAGTAATTCATAATTCACCAGCCTGCAGACAGGCCAGACCCCCCCCCCCCGCAATGAGTTGTCAATTCCAGTTCTCTACTTTATGCAGAGTGGGGGAAAGTAAATATTTCATTTTTCCTAGATCCCCCTTATATTTTCCTGGCATTCATAAAAAAGGAGGGGGCAGCTACTTTATTCTGGCTGTGCCAACTTCCATTGTGTCTAAAAGTTCAGCATCTAAGTTTTTAAATGTTGCAAGGCCAAAGCTTTCTTACTTTTGACTTCTTCACAGCTATGTTGAGACATATAATTAACCTTAATGATTCATTAGCACCCACTCCATGTTCTACTTTGAAAGGCAGTTGTCAACCACTTATATAAATGCTTGGGAAAGAGGAACTGATGTCTTAACATATTAAAAGTTCCCTCTGCACATTTTGAATAGCTGCACTGGCTTCTATGGGCTGCATCAAGGGAGGAGATCCGTGGCAGAGGAAACAAACTTGGGGAATTAACAAAAACTTAATAAAAGATGAAACAATTTGAATTCATCTGCAGCAATGAAAAGCTTGCTTGCTTTTTGATATTTTATATATATATATATATATATATATATATATATATATATAATGTTGCAAAATGCTTGCATTTATAAAGCTTGTTTTCTGCCTTTTGAGCAGAAGGGATGCAGTTCAGTGGCAGAGCACCTGCTTTGTATCTCCAGAGTGGGGCTGGGAATGCCCCCTGCCTGAAACCCTGGGGAGCTTCCAGTCAGTGTAGACAATACTGAGCTGGTTGGACCAATGATGCAATCTGGTATAACGATTGTACAGTCTGTACACTTCAATGTCTGTACACTAATGCGCAAAGCATGGGAAATAAACAAGATGAGCGTGAGCTCTTGGTACAGCAAACTAAATATGACATAATAGGCATCACTGAAACCTGGTGGGATAAGTCCCACGATTGGAATGTAATAATGGGGGGATACAATCTATTTCAGAGAAACAGACCAGACAAGAAAGGAGGAGGAGTGGCGTTATATGTCAGGGATGTGTATACCTGTGAAGAGATCCAAGATTTAGAACCTCAAAGCCAAAGTGAGAGCATTTGGGTCAAAATTAAGGGAGAGACGAATAACAGTGACCTCATTGTGGGAGTTTACTATAGATCCCCAAGCCAAACGGAGGACATAGATGATGCCTTCCTGGAACAGATGGCCAAGCATGCAAAAGGAAGGGAGATAGTAGTAATGGGGGACTTCAATTACCCGGATATTTGTTGGATGTCAAACTCAGCCAAGAGTATAAGGTCAAACAGATTCCTCACTGGCCTTGCAGACAACTTCATTGTCCAGAAAGTGGGAGAAGCAACAAGAGGAACAGCCATTTTAGATCTGGTCCTAACCAATGTTGATGACCTGGTTAGTGGGGTAGAAGTGGAAGGATCATTAGGCACGAGTGATCATGCTCTTCTGAAGTTTACTATACAGCGGAAAGGAGCAGCCAAGCATACTAGGACTCAATTTCTTGACTTTAAGAAAGCCGACTTCATAAAACTTAGGGAAGTGCTGGGTGAGATCCCATGGACAGTAATACTAAAAGGAAAGGGAGTTCATGATGGCTGGGAGTTTGTTAAGAGGGAGATACTAAAAGCACAACGTCAGGCAATACCAATGAGACGGAAACATGGAAGGTGCCTAAAGAAGCCAGGGTGGCTATCTAAAGAACTTTTAACTGAGTTAAGATAAAAAAGGATGTGTACAAAAAATGGAAAAGGGGAAACCACCAAAGAGGAATTCAAACAAATAGCCAGCACGTGTAGACACAAAGTCAGAAAAGCTAAAGCACAGAATGAACTCAGGCTTGCTAGAGAGGTTAAAAGCAAAAAAAGGGATTTTATGGGTATGTTCGTAGCAAAAGGAAGAACAAAGAAACAGTGGGGTCTCTCAGAGGAGAAGATGGTGAAATGCAAACAGGGGACACAGAAAGGGCTGAACTCCTCAATGCCTTCATTGCCTCAGTCTTCTCCGATAAAGAAAACAATGCCCAACCTGAAGAATTTGGAGCAAACACAGCCCAGAATAACTAAGGAGATAGTACAAGAATACTTGGCTAGTTTAGATGTATTCAAGTCTCCAGGGCCAGATGAACTGCATCCAAGAGTATTAAAAGAACTGGCAGATGTGATCTCAGAACCACTGACAGTCATCTTTGAGAATTCCTGGAGAACAGGCGAAGTCCCGGCAGACTGGAGGAGGGCAAATGTTGTCCCTATTTTCAAAAAGGGGAAAAGAGAGGACCCAAATAATTACCGCCCAGTCAGTCTGACATCAATACCAGGGAAGATTCTGGAGCAGATCATTAAGCAAACAGTCTGTGAGCACCTAGAAAGGAATGCTGTGATCACCAATAGTCAGCATGGATTTCTGAAAAATAAGTCATGTCAGACTAACCTGATCTCGTTTTTTGACAGAATTACAAGCCTGGTAGATGAAGGGAACGCAGTGGATGTAGCCTACCTTGATTTCAGCAAGGCATTTGACAAGGTGCCCCATGATATTCTTGTAAAGAAGCTGGTAAAATGTGGTCTTGACTATGCTAACACTCAGTGGATTTGTAACTGGCTGACTGACCAAACCCAAAGGGTGCTCATCAATGGTTCCTCTTCATCCTGGAGAAGAGTGACTAGTGGGGTGCCACAGGGTTCTGTCTTGGGCCTGGTCTTATTCAACATCTTTATCAACGACTTGGATGATGGACTCAAGGGCATCCTGATCAAATTTGCAGATGACACCAAACTGGGAGGGGTGGCTAACACCCCAGAGGACAGGATCACACTTCAAAATGACCTTGACAGATTAGAGAACTGGGCAAAAACAAACAAGATGAATTTTAACAGGGAGAAATGTAAAGTATTGCACTTGGGCAAAAAAATGAGAGGCACAAATACAAGATGGGGACACCTGGCTTGAGAGCAGTACATGTGAAAAGGATCTAGGAGTCTTGGTTGACCACAAACTTGACATGAGCCAACAGTGTGACGTGGCAGCTAAAAAAAGCCAATGCAATTCTGGGCTGCATCAATAGGAGTATAGTATCTAGATCAAGGGAAGTAATAGTGCCACTGTATTCTGCTCTGGTCAGACCTCACCTGGAGTACTGTGTCCAGTTCTGGGCACCACAGTTCAAGAAGGACACTGACAAACTGGAACGTGTCCAGAGGAGGGCAACCAAAATGCTCAAAGGCCTGGAAACGATGCCTTATGAGGAACGGCTAAGGAAGCTGGGCATGTTTAGCCTGGAGAAGAGGAGGTTAAGGGGTGATATGATAGCCATGTTCAAATATATAAAAGGATGTCACATAGAGGAGGGAGAAAGGTTGTTTTCTGCTGCTCCAGAGAAGCGGACACGGAGCAATGGATCCAAACTACGAGAAAGAAGATTCCACCTAAACATTAGGAAGAACTTCCTGACAGTAAGAGCTGTTCGACAGTGGAATTTGCTGCCAAGGAGTGTGGTGGAGTCTCCTTCTTTAGAGGTCTTTAAGCAGAGGCTTGACAACCATATGTCAGGAGTGCTCTGATGGTGTTTCCTGCTTGGCAGGGGGTTGGACTCGATGGCCCTTGTGGTCTCTTCCAACTCTATGATTCTATGAGTCTATGATTCTATGATTGCGATGTTTCTATGCCTTGACCTCTTGAGAATAAAGGGTAAATATGTGTATAGCCAAAGGCACGCACACAACCTGTTCTTTGGTGTAGCAACAGAAAACATGCTCATGTTCTTTGCTGTTCATTCTGTTCTAGCGAGCTAAATAATTGGCATAATTACATACCTTGTAGAAAACTAATATTTTACGATGTAACCCAGGACATCAGGCTACACACACACACACACACACACACACACACAATTATCTATCATCTATCTATCTATCTATCTATCTATCTATCTATCTTCCAACACAACAAATGGTGTCAATTAGCATTTTTCACTGGGTTTCAGCATTTCCCAACCAACATTTTGTAAGAGCAAATGCAACCGTATTGCAAAAATATTTCAAGGAAGTCAAATCAATTATTCAAATGGGCAGCTTTGGCATAGTTTACCGTATGCTTTTTCTATCCCACCGCCCCTGTAATTTTTATCTGCATCGTTTGTTATAGCTAGTAAAATACTGATAGCTTTAAAAAAGATTAAAGATTATTTACTTTCTCTAGACTTTGGTGTTAGCCATTGCTAATTAATATTGTCCTTCTTGATGGCATTACAGAAGGCCCAATACAAACAAACCAGTTATAAATGATTTTCTCAATCTAAACTTTTAAACACCGTAGCCTCAGGGGTAGCTGAACATAAAAGTGCATTCTAGAAAATGTAAGGTTTGGTTAAGGTCAGGGATATCTCCATTAGTGATGGATGTCAGTGTAAAAATGTCTGGGTTAGGGTGGTAACTGTTCCTTAAAGACTAAACAAAATGATACAGGCAGCCATAAACAGGAAGAAAAATACACACAATTAGGGATAGACAAATCTCTCAATTTCAGTTTTTCATTTTCACAATCTTAAATTAAATTTCCCCAATTTCCACTGCAATTTGTATTTTTAAAAAAAATAATAATAATAATGCAAAGTTCTTAGAGTAAACACGTTTTTGCATGCAGTTTTGACTGATAAGCACATTTTTATTTGCTAAATATTTTCTGACCACATGGCTTGTAATCCAGTTTTAACTCCTTGCCGTTTAATTTCAGACTTGCTCTGCTGTAGTTTCTTAGAGCTCAGAGTAACTCATTTTGCCCTGTCAATGTTGTTGGACTTCAAAACCCATCTGCCCCAGCCAGCATGGCCAATGTTTAAGATTAAGGATGTCTGCCAATATTTGGAGGGCACCATATTCCCCATCTCTGGGCTATGACAATAGTGAATTTAGGAGACAGAAGGGGTAGAAGGTAGAAGGGGTGTTTAGAAGGATGAGAGGGGGAGGCCTTTGGGCAGAAGCAGCTACGTGCCGACTTCAGAGTAGTGAGGAGAGCTGGATTTCCTTTAATGAATAAAAATAACAGGATTGTTGGAATAATTTGAGTTCATTCTACTGGTGTTCATCCCAAACTCCTTGGAGTAATTGGAAATTCCACAGTGCCTGTGCTAAGACCCCATGAGCAATAAATCCAGCATCTGTTATCACCACTTCATTAACGAGAGTTATTCCTGAATAATTAGTGAGTCACACTCTCTGTTCCTAGGTTGTTTTTTTTTTAAAAGAGGCTGACGACTACTGTTTTTCAATCAGCCATAGGTAAATTTAGAATTTGACAACAGCAGAAAATAGATTACAGTGTATCGTGTGCACTAGAATGAGGTAATTTTTGGTTGTTGTTTTTTTTTTTATAAAAAAACCTGTCTCCGTTTATTATTTATGTCTAAGACATGATGAGAATTCCCTCTGTTTGGGATGTAAAGTATATGAGGATGTGGGCCAAAAATGCCAGCTTGCCCTAAGTATCACAGGGATTACAATTGTCAGAAATGTGTTTAACCAAGCTATACATCTTTTCAGTACGTAACAACTTCTCTCGTTCTTGCCATTCTTTATTTCATTTCTGTTTTTATTAAGAAAGTTTGTCAGCGTGAAATCAATCACAAAATGGAGGGAGTGGAAATGGGGTTGACATCAGTTTAGCACTTTTGTGCTGAGTTACAAGAGGGGTGGGTGAGATCTGACAACCTCCCCAGGCCTCTCTAGCGACCTTCAGGACTCCTACCAAATCACACTGTATCCCCAGCCAACCCTCACCTAGGTTACCCCTTTCAACCTGCTTCACACCCTGCTTGTCTATGTCTAGCCGGGATATTTTCTTGGACTCCAATGATGCTTCCTGCTTGCCTGAATGGAGGGTAGAAAGGGATGCACTGTTCAAAGGTAAAATGGCTCCTTGCCTGTCACCTTTTCATTCTGGCCTTGAAGGCCCCATCTGCACCAGCCATTTAAAGCAGTATTATACCACTCTACACTGAATCAGCTACTTTTTCAGGGGTGGAGAACTAAATACAGCTGGTGGCCTGGATATTTAACTCTCCACAGGCCAACTCTGACAGGTAGACATGGCCACACACCTGTCAATCATCTGACATCACGTGACACTTTCAAAAGGTCTCACTCTCAGTCCTGATCAGCTGACAGGCACTGGGAGGGAGCCCCTTTGAGGTCTGGTTGCAAGTGAGGTATGGATTCAGCCCTTTCAGCTCTGCAGTTTTCATGGTAGGTTCCATTTTTTTTGTTAATGATGCTTGAGCTGTATGACATATCTTGGTGAGCTGGCTTCTAGGTTACTTTGTCTTGGCTGAAAGTTCCCTAACCTCTGTGTGTGTGTGCATTTCCCCACCACCATCCCAGAGGCTGGGGAAATGTACACATATTTATTTTTCTGCTTACTCCGTCTCCTTTTTGTGTGTGTTCATTTGTTAGGTGCTCAAAGGAGAGGAGGGAGCTTGTGCACACAGGATAAAGAAGCCTTATGAATTCCAAAGTGTTTGCTTTATTGCAAAAAAACACACTGAGCAAAGTGTGGAGGGGGGGATGGAGAGAGAGAAAGAGAGAAATAAATAAATGAACCAGGAACATAATGTGTGCATTTTTAATGAAAGCTGAGCTAACAGTGCGCATAAAAGCCTCCCTTCTTTCCTCCTACCTGTGGCAGCGTTTTATTCATTTGGGAGAGTACTGTGCAGAAGATATTTCTTAGCCCTGTGCTGGCTGCTCTTTCGTTTTTAATAAATTAAATTGTTTCTATCAATGTAATATTCCTTAGACAAGCACTTCCAAGAGAGATTAGAAATGAACTTAAGGGGATTAAAAGCTTCTCTTGCGACAAACAATGTTTCATCTGGGAAATCCACTTATTTATGTCAGTTTCAGTGGAAAACTCCCCCCCCCTCCGCCTTTACTCTTTAATATGTTGCTATTGCTTCTTACCAAAAGCTTTGGGTTTCCTCGCAATTCCTGATTCTGTAGTGCTGTCTTCCCTAGGCATGTTGTATTTAATTTTTGGTTGGTACAGTAAGTCACTTGGAACAAGATGGATGGCTTCTCAATAATTGCATGGGACCCATTTTCTCTCCCGTTTAGTGAATGCCTGGTGCTGAGTAGGTCTGTCATTTTAAATAACATTAGTCTATCTTGCAAATAAGGAAACTGGAGAGAAATGTCACCTGTGTGATATGCAGATGGAAGTCTCAACACTGTTTCCCAGGCACATGCAAGACAAAAGAGCCATAACTCAGAGGGATAGCATCTGCTTTCCACGCAGGAGGTCTCAGGATCAATCCCCAGCTTCTTCAGATATGGCTGGGAAAGACCCCAGTGTAGGCAAGACTGAGCTAGATGCCCTAATGATGAGACTGAGTATAATGCAGCCAGCTTAGAGAAGACTGAGCTGGAAGCAGTGGTGTTGACTCAGCAAAATACACCTTCCTAGACAATACTGAGTTAGATGGAACCAATGATGTGACTCAGCATAATGTACCTAGCTATGCTCCTTCCTAGACAATGTTGAGCTGGACAGGGCAGTGATCAAGGCTTGCAGACCCTCCAAGTGTCCCTAGTTTCCAGGCATGTCCCTGATTTAGAGAAGCCATTCTGGTTTCCGTTTAGATCCCAGAATGTCCCGCTTTTCCTTAGGACGTCCCTATTTTCATTGGAGAAATGTTGGAGGGTATGGAGTTATCCAAGCCCCAAGCCACCTGAAGGCAATCCTCTAGGGAAGTTTTTTTTTTTAATGTTTAATGCTTATTATGTTTTTATATATGTAGGACGCCACCCAGAGTAGCTGGGGCAACCCAGTAAGATGTGTGAGGTATAAATAGTAAAATTACCATTATGTAGTGGGACGTCCCTATTTTCATCAGAGAAGTGTTGGAGGGTGTGTGCTTTTTCTAGGGAAGGGCCCTAAGCTTAGTGATAGAGCATCTGCCTCACATATAGAATGTCCTAGGTTTAATCCTTGGCATCTGCAGTCTGGACTGGGAGTGTCCCCTGCCTGAAACCCCAGAGAAAGACTGCCAATCAGTGTGGTTAATACTGAACTGGACAGAGCAATGGTTAGACTTGATATAAGGCAGCTTCCTTTGTTCCTCTGAAAGAGATTTATCTTCCTCATACTGCTGCAGTTGTCACAAAGTTTGGTTTTATAAGAGCTGGCACTATGTACTGGCTAACAGACTGAAAGCCAGAAGCAGCACCTACAACCCTTGAGCTGTTGTGAAGCCCTGGAGCCCTGGGAGAGCCTACTGGTACTGATGGTGTACTGTGCGATCCTAACCATGTCTACTCAGATGTAAGTGCTAATATAAGCACTGTAACAGGCTGGTGAATGTCAAGGTGCTTTGAAATACACTGGATATAACCATATCATATTAAGCATGGGTGTCTTACACTCTGAGAAACAAACATGCATCTAGCTTGCGTTGGAGAACAATAGAAAAAAACAACCCACATTGGATCTTCATCTCTCATTTTTATTAGAGATCTCATTAATTTAACAGCCCAGATATATACTGACAATAAATATGGTGTGAATATGTTGCTCGTTTATAATTGTGCTTTTAGGAGCAAAATACTGTCAGTGACTCATCCACATTGTTTTAATTTAAGTTCCACAAACCATCAGTGGAGTTCGCATTGCTTTGATTACCTAAACTCAACTTTATGAATGCTCACCCAGTCTCAATTATGCTATCTAGGCTCAGCCTGTGGTGTCACCCTGAGGAGAACTGAGATTTGGACTGATCATAGGTCACCCTACTCAGCCTTTAGACATGGCTCCCCCATTATCTTCTGGGGATAGCTTCCCTGTAACTTCCCTTGTTCCAGAGCCACACAGACTTATGGGTCTGCATAATTAGCTATGGGTTCCTTAAGGGAAAGCCCTGCCAGCCTTATCAAACCTTCATATGACTCTGCCCCTTTGCTGAGACAACATCTTCCATAGCTCAGTCAGCAGAGCCCACTGGGAGCTGCCCGGGGTCCTGACTTGCCGCAACATGACTGGAAGACTCTGCTAAATGCCATCTCTTCCCTAGCAAGCAGAACAGCAGAACAAGGTAAACTGGGGCTGAGGCTGCAGAGCATCTTGAAGTTGGGTAAGGCAAAGGCAGGGTGGACATAGGCTGGCTGAAGGCGGGCAGCCTGGTGTGCATGACCAGGTGGCTTCCCCTAACTGACTAGTCTAAGGAAGTCTGTAAGCCTTTACACTTGCCAGTGGTATTGGATTGGCCATCCTGTGTAACTTGATCTCCTAGCCCAAGAGGATTATAAATTATATGAGCTGGAGTTACTTGCACTTCCTATTTCTGACCAGTTACTCTGGTGTCTGCAGGACTCCCCACTGAAGCTCTGCAGAATTACCTGGCACTTGGTCATTCTAGGGGTTTGCAGATGTTTCCCTTTGCTGAATGCATGCAAGGAGAGTAGGATTGTACCTCCATGCAAGGGAAACCACGAGCAGTAGCAGTGACAGACACCACACAGAATTGAAGCTGGTCAGCAGGAGGATTTGATCCTGACTAGTGCTGCTCCTGGGTGCAGGAAGAAAGAGAACCTGTCTGGAAGAAGGAGAGGTCAGGCAGGAAAGACACCCACCCAATTCCAGCCTTACCTTCTTCCATGAAGATGTAGCTGCTGGGAAGGTCCTTTTCATGGTTCATCCATCTTTCCACCTGATGCCTTGCCCCTGGCAGCCCCAGATCACTCTGAGTTGCAGGACCAACGGTGAGTAGCCTGCTGGATCAGGCCAGTGTCCTATCTAGTTCAGCATCCTCTTCTCCCAGTGGTCAACCTGATGCCCTAATGAGAATCCCACGAGCAGGACTCCCCTCCCCTCTCCCCTCTGGTATTTTCCAGCAACTGATATTCAGAAACATTACTGCCTCCAGCATTGCCATTCTTGCTCATAGTGACACATAGCCTTCTTCTCCATGAATCTATCCAATCCTCTCGCAAAGGCATCCAAGTTGATGGCCATCACTGACTCATGTGAGAGTGAGTTCCATGGTTTCACTATGTACTGCACGAAGAAGTCCTTTCTTTTGTTTGTGCTGAAGCTACCTATCTGGCTAGCTATTGAACTACTTACCTACTGACTAACTGGAATATTTATAAAATTATAAACCAGGCATGGGCAAACTCGGCCCTCCAGATATTTTGGGACCACAACTCCCATCATCCCCGACCACTGGTCCTATTAGCTAGGGATGATGGGAGTTGTAGTCCCAAAACATCTGGAGGGCCGAGTTTGCCCATGCCTGTTCTAAACATTACAAAATGCTATATACAACAATAAAAATGCAACATGTAAACAGATAAAACACTTGTCAAATAAGAAATCAGATACAACCCATGAGTCAACTTACCCTACTGGGAAACACACACACACACACACACACACACACGTTTTGTTAGCATTTTGTTACCTTTGTGGCATGTGGCATCACTAGAAGGGCCCCATGTAGGTGCTGCCACACTATAATATCAATTTCCGCCAGTGCAGCAGATCAGAGTGGTCAGGTGGGCATATATGGGGTTGGAGGACCACATCGTAAAACACATGAATTTTGAAGTATAGCCGCGTTTTGGATGACATATTGTTTTGTAAAGTGTAGCTTCTCCTTAAAATGTGAAACAAACATAAGGATCTTCCCCATCCTTACCAGGAACTTTGCAATGACAATGTTGCAGAGTTCATGCAGAGAGGTCTCTTTGTGCATATAAAAACACTCATGTACTGTCTCAAAATGCATGGCGGCTTGAGGGAGGGAGTCTTCCGTGGCAATGCACACCCTTCATCTAGTACGTGTGCATGTTATGCAGGGTGGAATGATAATAAAAAATAAAAATAAAAGAACCAGAATTCATCTCTATGCTTTTGAACTTTATGTGTGTACCTTTGAATTTCTATCAAGTCTCATGTTCCGGGATCAATGGTGTGCAAGCTATGTATGTTTCTGATTAGCTGTTATGCAATATTCCTTAAAAACATGTGGCTTCTCCTTCATTCTTAAACCAAATCAGCGTTCCTCTTTCAAACTTGGCTGGAGCTCTTCATCTTTATGTCGTGCTCTCCACGCAGTCCGAAAAGAAGGGAGGGAGGCACTAATGACAGTTTATAATATCATTATCTACAGTTAGAGATATTATATCTCCAAGAAATGAAAAGAAACTGCAGCCATATGTGGGAGGTTGTTTCCCCCCCCTGTGCTCTCTTAACCCTCAAAATGGCTTTGGGTGTGGAAAGAAAGGGAATCTGGGATAGGAAACAAGGGTGAGAGAAAAAGAAACCCAAAAGTAACGCCAAATCGTTCTGTCGATTTTGCTGACAGCTCACTCAGATGAAAATTGGGCGCTTTCGAAGGCCACTAAGAACCAAAAGGGTAATTTATTTTTCTTCGTTAGAGAGAGAGAGAATTATTTTAGCTTTGGATTCCAATGTGTTCCTTATTACATGGTTTGATAATTTTAGTGATGTCCTGCCTCCTGTAACGTATGAGCTGATTTAAACCTTCAGTGCAAACAGCCTAAGGGTGATTAGGAACAGCGCGGGTCCAGTATGGATTAGGTTTAAAAGTAATAATAATAATAATAATATAAAAAAAGAGTAGACCTGTTGGTTAGGTGAAAAATTTCTTTTCAGCTTTCTTTTATGTACAAACTGCATTAAATGAGGCATTTAATTCAACAAATCCAGAGTTCTGATCCACCAGAAATAGAGACTGGGTTAGTTCAATTTGTAACAAACCATCTCCATATGATCAAAGGCTTGCAAGTTGATTCCAACATACTGCTTAAATTAGGCTAACACCGACGTGTTTGGCTCTGGGACAATATTTGGAATGTCTTACCAGAAGAAAAATTCCTTTGCACACATGGTTCTAATAGCAGGGAATGCCAACCTTACTTTTTAATGGGCTGACAAGGAGCGATGGCGCTAACTTTCTGACTCCAAAAAAAAGAAAGAAAGAAAGAAGAAAAAAAGTTCTTGTGCTGTTACCCACAACCCAGCTAGGATAATTTTTCCTTGCCTTCCTTATTAAAGCCTTGAATGAAGGGATTGTATGGCTTTCTTAATGCTGCTCGGACGACTCGCCATAAATCCAAGCGTTCATGATGAAAACTCCACTTATATTTATCTGGGAAATGGAATCAAGCAGAATGCACCTCAGTTCACAATAAATTACTAAAGCTGAGTTATTAAGTGTATTTTATATACCAGGGGCCTTATTACATCAGCAGTTTTGATAATGGATTATTATTATTATTATTATTAAAATAGTTCTGTGCACAGAACAATTTTCAGAGAAATGTTGGATGCACAGGTTCCTGTGCATGCAAATATATACATATATATATAGAGAGTGAGAGAGTGAGAGAGAGAGAGAAAGGGAGAGAGAAACAAACACACCCACCCCAAAATGACTTAAGGCTGTGCTTACCAATAGAGCATATTTACCTTCTTACATGCTGCTGTCTGGATAGATTAAGGAATGGCTGGCAGTGAGCAGAAAAGAGTGCATTTGCTCCTGCCTTGCCAAAGAATTCCCAATTGGGACTCCACGTTACAGAATGAAGTTTGGGCTGGGAGTTTCCAATTTTAGAGAGTGCTAATTACTCCCTCCTTCAGCAGTCATATATTTCTTTTATTATCACCCCTGCCCCCATCCTGTTTTAGTTTCTTCTCTCTCCTTCTCTCCCCCCCCCCCGTCACCCTCTTTTAAAGGAGAATTTTAAAGCTGATTTATTTCATCACGGCTGCGTAAGGTAATCTGAGCGCTATTTTGGAGGGGAAATGCTGCTGGGATTGTTATTGCGATTGTCCCCCCCCATCTCCCACAATTTACTTTTGTTGCAGTTTCTTTTTATTCTGCTTTTCAGCCTTGACAGCCCAAGAAGCTGTAAATGACAGTTGAAAATCCAATTTAAAAACAAATAAGCAGTGAAGTAGACATTCTAATTTTTCCAATT